TTCCTGCGGAGCAGGGAGCCTGATGTGGGGCTTGATCCCAGGACCCTGAGATCCTGACCTGAGCCAAAGGCAGACAGACGCTCAACGACTGAGCCACCCAGGCGCCCCTATTTTTTTTTTTTTAAGATTTTATTTATTTGACAGAGAGAGACACAGTGAGAGAGGGAACACAAGCAGGGGGAAGTGGGAGAGGGAGAAGCAGGCTTCCCACTGAGCAGGGAGCCCGATGCAGGGCTCGATCCCAGGACCCCAGGATCATGACCTGAGCCGAAGGCAGACGCTTAATGACTGAGCCACCCAGGCACCCCGAAGCCTTTATTTATTTATTTTTTAAATTTTGACCTACAAGGTCCTGCATGATCTGCTTCTGACCCGGTAACTCTGTGACCTCACCTCTCAAGCCGTATCCTTGCTGTTCCTTTTGCCTGCATTGGTCTTCCCCCAAATTTCCATATGACTCATTCCCTCTCTACCTTCAGGTCTCTGCTCGAAAGTCTCCTTATCACAAAAACCTATCTGACCATGCCAAATAAACTAGCAAGCCGACCTCTACTCCAGCTCTTCCTATCTCCTAATCCTTTTTCCTTCTAGAGTGCAGTTACATATATGTTCATCAGCTTTCTCCTTAGAGGACAAGGATACTGTTCTTTTTTTTTTTTTTTTTAAGATTTTATTTATTTTTTGACAGAGAGAGACACAGCGAGAGAGGGAACACAAGCAGGGAGAGTGGGAGAGGGAGAAGCAGGCTTCCCGCGGAGCAGGGAGCCCGATGCGGGGCTCGATCCCAGGACCCTGGGATCATGACCTGAGCCGAAGGCAGACGCTTAACGACTGAGCCACCCAGGCGCCCCAAGCTTCAAGATCCATGCTTTGAAAAAGATTTTGACTGAGATGTAAATACTTATAACTCATTCCCACAAATCTGGAATGCCTAAACATTCATCCAAGTTTGGATTTCTTCAACAGGTTACTCGGTCATTGAAATTTGGTCCGTTTGATCCTGAAACCCTTCCTCATAACAACTTTGTATGACAGGAATGTGCATCATTCTTCATTCTCTGGTGACTGTCTTATTAACATTCAGCATTAAGTAAACAAACAGACCACTGGTTTGAAAAGCAAACTGAAGAGGATTTAAACACTTAGGAACCCATCTTCATTCAAATAAGATGTAAAGCCCTATTTGCTCCAGTATAAAGGTGAGGTAAAACATTCATTGTGGAGGTGAGGATGGGTTGTTACCTCTATAACCAGAAGTTTTAACAGCTTTGATTAATAATTCTGTGGTCTGGGATCTCTGGTGGAGGTCTTTGAGAATCTTTCAAGGTGTCTGGAGGTCAGAAGTATTTTCATGATACTAAGACATTATTTTTCACACTCATTCTCTCACAAATGCATAGTAGAGTTTTCCAGAGGACATCAAATATGTGGTATCACAAGCGATTGAACTCAGGAGCATATATGAGAATCTAGCTGTTTTCTATTAAACCAAACATTAAAGAGATTTGCAGAAATATAAAACAATGCCACTCTTCTCACTAAATTTTTTTTTTGTTTTAGAAAAATGCTATTTATGTTAACATGTGATTTTTTTTTTTTTTAAGATTTTTATTTATTTATTTGACAGAGAGAGAGATAGCGAGAGCAGGAACACAAGCAGGGGGAGTGGGAGAGGGAGAAGCAGGCTTCCTGCCGAGCAGGGAGCCCGATGTGGGACTCGATCCCAGGACGCTGGGATCATGACCTGAGCCGAAGGCAGACGCTTAACAACTGAGCCACCCAGGCGCCCTTAACATGTGATTTTTAAAAAGGATGACAATTTGGGGCGCCTGGGTGGCTCAGTCGGTTAAGCCTCTGCCTTCAGCTCAGGTCATGATTCTGGGGTCCTGGGATCAAGGCCAGCAGTGTCAGGCTCCCTGCTCAATGGGGAGTCTGCTTCTCCCTCTCCCTCTGCCTGCCACTCCACCTGCTTGTGCTTTCTGTCAAATAAATAAATAAAATCTTAAAAAATAAAAGGATGACAGTTCTTTTGGAATGTAGCTTTTGGGGGAGCTCCAAGCCCATTTTCCTCCCTCCATCCTGTTAGGCTGCTGGTTTTCATTGGTATGATGGAGCTGGGTAGAGGGGGACAGGAATGAGGTCATTAAAATGCCACAAAGCTCATTCTTACCAAGATTCAGGCACTTTTCCTGAATAAATGCTCCTCAGATTGTTTCAAGCGTTTGGCTAATGTCTACAACTCCCAGAAAGTTAATTTGGACCTTTTTTTTGCTATTGTTGTTGGCCAGTGTTTTCATTACTTTTACGGAGGAATGGATTTGGGGGTTCCTTACTCTATCATTCAGAAAGTGCTATCCTCTTTTAAACATGTTGCCCTACTGTCTTCTTGTTTGCATTGTTGCTAATGAGAAATCTGATGTCATTCTTCTCTTTTTCTCCCTTATGTAACACGTCTTATTTCTCTGGCTGCTTTTAGGATTTTCTCGGTTATCATTGGTTTGGAGTAATTTCATTACAATGTGCCTTTGTGTAGTATTTTCCATGTTTCTTGTAGTGGAGTTCATTGAACTTCTTGGATCTGTGGGTTTAGGTTTTTCATTAATTTTGGAAAGTTTTAGGACATTATTTCTTCACATATTTTTTGTCCCCCCACCTCACCTTTGGGGATTCTATTTCCCTGCATATAAGGCCATTTGAAATTGTCCCATAGCTCATTTATGTCCTCTTTATTTATTTATTTTGGATTCTTTATTTTTTTTAAAGCTTTTATTTATTTCTTTGAGAGAGAGCACAAGCAGGGGGAGCGGCAGGCAGAGGGAGAGGGAGAAGCAGGTTCCCCACTGAGCAGGACCCCAGGATCATGACTCGAGCCAAAGGCAGACATGTAACCAACTGAGCCACCCAGGCACCCCTGGATTCTTTCTTTTTCTTTTTCATTTTGTTAGTTTCTATTGCTATGACTTCAAGTCACCAATGGTTTTCTTCTGTGATGTCTAGTCATTAATCCTATTCAGTGTATTTTTCTGTAATTCACATACCACATAATTAATTTAAAGTGTACAATTCTTTCACTATACTGTTGTGCAACCATTACCATAATCAGTTTTAGAACATTTTCATCACCCCAAAAAGAAACCCCATACCCCTTAGCAATCACTGCCCTTTTCATCCCAATCAATGCCCCACCCCCACCCCCATGACCCCTTCTCTGCTTCCATCAGCCCTAGGCAACCACTGATCTACTTTCTGCCTGTGGACTTGCCTATTCTGGATATTTCGTAAATGGAATCATACAATATATGGTCCTTTGTTCACTGGCTTCTTTCACTTAGCAAACTATTTTCAAGGTTCTTCCATGTTGCGGTATGTACCTCCTGCTTCTTTTTAGGCCTGGTCATGTCTGTTTGGAAAACAGACATTGTAAATTTTACTTTTTTAGGTGTTGGATTATTATTTTTTTTAAAGATTTCACTTATTTGAGTGAGAGAGAGCAGAGAGCACAAGCAAGGAGGGGGGACGGGCAGAGGGAGAGGGAGAGGCAGACTCCCCGATGAGCAGGGAGCTTGACCCCAGGACCCCGGGATCATGACCTGAGCCTAAGGCAGTCACTCAACCAACTGAGCCACCCAGGCGCCCCTGAGAGATTTGTTTGGATGTGTTAAGTCTGAGATACTTTATGAGACATCCACAGGAAGATGTCAAACAGACCATAATGTATATAAGTCAGGTGTTCAGGAAGGAGGTCTAGGCTAGATGCCTAAATTAGTGGATCTCCCAAATATTTACAATAATTAAGGCTACGAGACAAGATGAAGTCACTTAGGGAGAGCATATTGCCTACAAAAGCAAGGGGGGCAGAGTCATACCCAAGGATACTCTAATATTTGGGAATCGGCTAAAGGTGGAAGAGTAGCTAGAAATGTAGGAGAAAACCAAGTGAGAGTAAGAAACCGTGGAATGCTTTGGGCAGTCACAGGAGAGGGTGATTGCCGGCAGGGAAGAGACTGCTGGTTTGGCAAGACTCTTATTCCCGGGTGATCTGGGGAAGAGCAGTTTCAGAGACATGGGAGTGGCAGAAACCAAACTGAATTAAGTTAAATATGGTCTGGGACATGAGGAAGTAGGACTGAACAAAGGCAGAAAATTGGCTTTGCCAAGGACCACAGCAATGGAGTCACGCCTTGGTCAGGATATGGAGTCCAAATTCACAATATGTTGACAACATCGTACATGAAACCACCTAGATGGCCACCAGTAAGAGAACAGCTGAACAGTGCTACATTTATTCCACGGAATGCCATGCATCAGTTAAAAAGTCGTTATTAAAACAGATATCCAGGGCGCCTGGGTGGCTTGGTTGGTTACGCAACTGCCTTCGGCTCAGGTCATGATCCCGGGGTTCTGGGATCGAGTCCCACACTGGGCTCCCCCTGCTCTGTGGGGAACCTGCTTCTCCCTCTCCCTCTGCCTGCCACTCCCCCTGCTTGTGCTCTATCAAATAAAATCTTTTAAAAAATGATATCCATTATATATTCATAGAAATTTTAAAAAGCATCAGAGCAATACTTGAGAAAAAGTAAAGCAAGGGACGGTATCGGTGTCAATACCCTGACTGTAATATTTTACTATCATTTTACATGTTACCTTTGGGGGAAACCCTTAAAAGTACATCTGATTTCTCTGTATTATTTCTCAAAACTGCGTGGGAATCCAGTTACCTCAAAAGTTAAAAATTGAATTAAAAAAATATTTCCAGTATGCACATCATTGGGCTTTCTCCCCCACAGGAAGCATTTATACCTCTCAGCATTAAAACCTCTCATTTTTCATTTTGTAAACAAAACCAAGCAAGGAGGGGGAGGGGCTGGCTTCCCTTGGGCAAGGGGAGTTTCAGCTTTCAAGGTCTCCGGGTCCGTGCCCGCCTCCGCCCCGCCCCCCCTCGCCTCTAGAAATCTGGGAGGACTAGTATTTCCAACAAGAAAGGCCACTCTAGCCCACCTCGGAGGCCCAAGTCTTGGTAGCCCAGAAAGTCAACGCCTCTCGTTCTCCGAGCAGGAGCGAGCTGGGGAATGCTCGGCCCTCTTCCGCTCAGCGAGGGCAAATCTCTCTCGCCCACCCGCCTCGGCTCCCTCAGACAGTCAGGGCCTCGCACAGCCTCTCCTGGGGATGCACCTGTGACTCGCGTTGCTCCAAAGACCTGGAAGCCCGGTGAGCAGAGCTGCGGCCGCGTTTTCCGGCCGGGATGAGTCACTTCCGGTCACAGACTCCCTCCCCCCGGAAGTGAGACCTGATGTAAACACCGGAGCCGGGCGTCAGGGCCCGGGAGGTCAGAAAACCGGGCCGCGGGCGGCACCGACAGCAGGGGTTGGGATCGGGAACGCAAGGCGGTCAGGTCAGTGCAGGCAGCGGGGAACTGGGGCATGATACCAGAGTTGGTTGGAGTCTGGGGGAGGGGAGGGATAGGGGTCCCTTGAACAGAGGTCTTGGTGGATGGGGGCGCGTCTCGGACAGGGAGCTTAAGTGGGTCCCGCGGTTGGAAGGAGTATGAGGGCGGTCTTGGACATGAGGAAGTGGAGCGCGGTGAAGCATTCGGGGGCAGGATTTTTGGGTGGCAGGGGTCTTTGGAATGGGGGTCCAAAAAGGGGTCTTGGAAGGTGGGGCTGTCCAAAGAATGAGTCTTTGGGGACTGAGGCGGTCCAGTGGAGGTGGTACAAAGGGGGTAAGGTAGGTTTGAGCTCTTGGAGGATGGGGAGGGGGTGTGCTTCGGCAAAGGTCTTGGGGAGATGGGGGTTTGAAGGGAGTATGGTGCTCTAGGACAGGAATCTGAGAGGGTCAGGAGTCTTGGTGGGATTGAGTTCCAGGGAGGGGTTTTGGGAGGTGGAGGTGTGTCCTGGGCAAGTCTTGATGGGGAAGGGGTGTCCTGGGGCAGGGTGTTTGGGGGAGAGGATAGAGAATCTGGAGGAGGAATGTAAAGGGGATGGGATTCCTGGGAGTAGGTTCAAGCCAGTCTATGTTGGAGTCAGAGACAGAAAAGCACATGGAAGGGGATGTCCCAGGGGTGGGCGATTTGGAGAGAGAGGGGAATCTGATGTAGGGTCTTTAGGGCATAAGAGGGTCTGGGGGAACATCCAGGCTGGCCCTGGTTGGGCAGAAGTTAGCATGGCATGAGGGGAGGGGTCCTCTGGAGCTAGGCGTGGGATCCCCAAGGGGTTTGGAGAAGCCTGGGAGGAGGGAAGGTGTGAGAAGGCTCTGAGATGGTGGAATAAGTTGGGAGCCTCAGAATGCTCATGAGGAGGGAAAGTCCTGTGGGTGGTGGACCAACCATGGCAGGTCTCAGGGCCAGGGTTAGGGAGGTGTGGGGTCCTAGCCCCTTTCCCTGTTTATTGACAGGTGGAGTTGGATGCTAGGTCCAGGTGTGAAGATGAGAAGCGAGTGGGGGGGGGGGGTGTGGTTCCAGGCCATGTGCGGCCTTAGGGCCAGGATTGGCTGGGGGTGGGGAACAGATGTCACTAGGGTCCCCTCTACCCCATTACTTCCTGACATGCAGTGAGGGCCAGGGAGTAAGAAGGAGATGGGGAGTCCAACCAAGTCAGGGTAGGCCTGGAGCTGGGGTCAACCAAGTGTGGGAAGATGGAGAAGTTCCTGGCCATGCTCTTTGGGATCTTGGGAGCTTAGAGTGGAGACCCCAGAACTATCCCTCTTTTTTGTTGTCTTTGTAGTCCTGCTGGGGGCAGTAGGTAGCAGAGGAGGAGGAAGAAAAAACCAGTTGGGGACAGGAGTTCTAGGACTTGGAGGGCAAACCCCAGACTCTTCCCAACTCTACCCCTATTTGTGTCCAGGGAAGCAATCCTGGACCATGACTCAGCAGCCACTTCGAGGAGTGACCAGTCTGCGTTTCAACCAAGACCAAAGTGAGAGAGGCTTGCACCCTTGTGGATGGGAGGGAGGGAGGGAAAGAATGGCCAGAGGTGGGTGCTAAGCCCCTAGCTTCCAACTGGGCATCGTTTGAGGCAGCCCGAATTTCCCGCATCCGCCAGGCTGCTTCTGCTGCGCCATGGAGACTGGTGTGCGCATCTACAACGTGGAGCCGTTGATGGAGAAGGGGCATCTGGGTGAGCCGTTGGCGGGGGAGGGGCAGTGGGCAGAAGGGACGGGCTGGGCATTGGCTCCCACCCCTACTGACACCCTGGTCCTTGTCCAGACCATGAGCAGGTGGGCAGCATGGGCCTGGTGGAAATGCTGCACCGCTCCAATCTGCTGGCCCTGGTGGGTGGTGGTAGCAGCCCCAAGTTCTCAGAGATCTCGGGTAAGTGCCCTCATCCCATCCCGCCCTCGGCCCGGAGTCCCCAGAATCCTGGCTTCCTCCAGGCACCCCACGGCACTGGCCGGTGAAGATGGTAGAGCCCCTCAGAGTCACACAGTGAGGCCTCCAGCTTGGAAGGCATGGATCTTACTGCTTGAGAAGCTGGGCGTTTTGCCTTCGCGTAACACTTACTGAGTTCCTCCTCTGTGCCTTGTCCTTACCGATGGAGCGCTTGCTGTGAGCCGCTACTGTTCTAAGCACTCTGCACATACTAACTCATTTAATCCTCATGGTGACACTACGTGGCAGGAAGTATTGCTATCCCCATTTTTACAGATGAAGAAACTGAGGTCCAGAGAGGTTAAGGGACTTTTCCAAATTCACACAACCAACGGGTTATGCAATCTCGGAGTCATCTCCCGCAGTGTCCTCTTGCTTTGGGCCTAGGAGCCATCTTGTTCTGAGGCTGTTTGTTGATCCCCCTGGGACATGGCAAGAGAGGCCCTAGGCGAGTCACAGAGGTCTAGGACTCAGAAGCCTCCTAGGGGTACGGACCGGGGGGAGCCTGGAGGCAGAGGTAGTTCCCAACGGGAAGTTACAGGCCTGGGTATGAGTCCCTGTCTGGTTGCTGATGGGCAGTGAAGTCCTCGGCCCAACACTCAACCCCCTCGAGCCTCGGTTTCTTCATCTGTAACTGAGTATAACAGTCTGAGAAACCTATTCTCTCAGGCATCACACCCACAAGTGCTCGTGCCGGATGAAGCTCACGTTGGTGTTAGCAAAAAGTTAAGCAAGTGGGTTGAGGTCCCATGGGGAGTAGGGGTGGGTCTTGTGTCACCAGGGCTGCCCCTCACCCTAAACCTTGGCCCCGACAATGCACCCACCTGCCCAGCAGTGCTGATCTGGGACGATGCCCGGGAGGGCAAGGACTCCAAGGACAAGCTGGTGCTGGAGTTCACCTTCACCAAGCCAGTGCTGGCTGTGCGCATGCGCCATGACAAGTGAGCCTGAGGAGGACGGGGGTGGGGGAGGTAGGAGGTCCCCACAGCAGGCAAGAGGGTTAGTCCTGGACTGGCATCCTGCCCTCCCCTCATGGACATCCTGCGTTGTGTGATGCACACAGAATTGTGATCGTGCTGAGGAACCGCATCTACGTGTACTCCTTCCCCGACAATCCCCGAAAGCTGTTCGAGTTTGACACTCGGGACAACCCCAAGGGTGAGAGGACCCAGATATGCAGGTGTGAGGGCAGGAGGCAGTGGACGGGGCAGAGGGGCAGAAGTGAGGGGAGGCAAGGGGCGCCCGGAGAAGCTGGGCAAGGGGCAGGCAGACAGTCCTTGTGCAGAGAGGCTCCTATTCCCAGCCTGTCCACCTTTCTGTGCCTTAGCCAGTTTTCTCTCCCCACCCCTGGGTGCCCCCAGAGAGCAGGGCAGAAACAGCCAGTAAGGACACGGGTGGCTGTGCCAGGGATCCTTGGGCCCTCCTGGGGCTGCCACAGCTGCGTCGGGAGGTGGAGAACCTGCCTCGCTGCTGGGGGGGCGCAACGGACGGCAAGCCCCCTGAGGGTTCCGTGGGGGCCATGCATCACGGAAGGTCAAAGTCGGGCCCTTACCCAGCTTCCGTCCTTGGGAGGCCCTGCCCGTCCCACTGCCTGGCCCCTGCCTCCCCTTCACCAGCTTCCTCCCTCCCCCAGCACTGTGTCCTCACACCCTAGGGCTTTGTGACCTCTGCCCCAGCCTGGAGAAACAGCTGCTGGTGTTCCCGGGACACAAGTGTGGGAGCCTGCAGCTTGTGGTGAGCCATCCCGTGGGCCGGGGTGGGCGGGCGGGCTGCCTTTGCGGGCCCTTGGCCTCTGCCTGCCCAAACTGCCCCTTCAACCGCAGGACCTGGCGAGCACCAAGCCTGGCACCTCATCCGCCCCATTCACCATCAACGCCCATCAGAGCGACGTGGCCTGTGTATCCCTGAACCAGCCGGGCACGGTGGTGGCCTCCGCCTCCCAGAAAGGCACCCTGATTCGCCTTTTTGACACACAGTCCAAGGAGAAACTGGTGGAATTGCGCCGGGGCACTGACCCTGCCACCCTGTACTGGTGAGCGGAGGAGGGCATGTGCGGTGGGCTGGCGACCCCCTGCCACCTGGCCTGTGGGCGTCATTGCCGGTGTGTCTTCCAGCATCAACTTCAGCCATGACTCCTCGTTCCTCTGCGCTTCCAGTGATAAGGGCACGGTCCATATCTTCGCTCTAAAGGACACCCGTCTCAACCGCCGCTCCGCGTGAGTACCCCTGCCCGGCCCGGCCCTGCCCCCACCCCTGCCCGTGTCCCCCACCTGGGCTCAGCCAGTGCTGCCTGCAGGCTGGCTCGCGTGGGCAAGGTGGGGCCTATGATTGGGCAGTACGTGGACTCTCAGTGGAGCCTGGCGAGCTTCACCGTGCCTGCCGAGTCAGCCTGCATCTGCGCCTTCGGTCGCAATACGTCCAAGAACGTCAACTCCGTCATTGGTGAGTGGGCGTAGCTCTTGCCTGGGGGTGCTGCGTGGGAAAGTCCGCAGTTTGGACCTGCCGGAACTGTAGGGCCTGGGAAGCCTGAGAGAGAGAGTGGGCGCTCAACTCCATCGCCGGAGGGAAGGCCTGGGGACAAAGGCCTAGACGTAGACCCTCGGCCATGGGACACCGGCGAGGAGAGGCTTGGAGTGGGTGGCTTCGGCAGCTCTTAACCTTTTACCTGCCCTCCCCCTTCTTGCAGCCATCTGTGTAGATGGGACCTTCCACAAATACGTCTTCACTCCTGATGGAAACTGCAACAGAGAGGCTTTCGATGTGTACCTTGATATCTGTGATGACGATGACTTTTAAGGACACTGCGGGCTGTGCGAGGGACCTACAGCGGTGGACGGCAAAGCCTTGCGGGGGTCAGGAGTGCGGTGGGAGCTACCAGGCAGCGAGCGTTAATGGGGCCGGTGCCCACCCGGCCCGCAGCAGCGCAGTGCCGCAGCAGCTCACTTGTCCCTAAACACTTCTTGGTGACTGTGTGCCTGCGGGGCCAGGCCAAGGACCCAGGGAGGGAGGAGACCCCCGGGACTCCCAGCCTGAAGACTGCTAGCGACCTAGAGGGAGTGCCCTAATTCAGCCTGTGGGGATTAAAAAACCTTCCCAGAAAGAGACCTCTCTAATGTGGTGAATATGAATAAAAGGCCCTTGATAGTGTTTCTGGAGCTGGAGCTGGACCTGGGGGGGCAGGGGTGGGGCCCGGAGGAGATGCCGCTGAAAAGGCCCTGCGGGAGTTTCCAAGTAGGTGTGGCCCTCTTGGACCCTGACTTGGAAGGAAGTGGGATCCTGCCCGAGTCCTTCTGACAGTCCCTATCTGTATGTCCCAGAATGTGTGTGTGCGCGTGTCCTAGAATGTCCGACCACTGTGTACTTGAGCCATCAGCACGGCTCAGAACAGCCCCTTGGGCGCCCCCACCTGGGGATGGGTGGGAGCGCCTCGCCCGGCGGCGGCGACTTGATTTCCCGGCAGCCCCTGCTGCCTTACAGTTCCGGCGTGTTGCTGGCATTTCCGGTCACGTGCATTGCTACTGCGTAGTCCGCCTGGGTGGTTGAGAGAGCAGCCGTTGGACCTAGACTCCATTTCCCGGTGTCCTTCGCGGTGGCGCGGGGTGCAACGGGGGTTGTAGTCCGGCCGCTCTTGTGGCTGGTACAGCTACAACGACCGGCAGGATGTCGGAGGTGCGGCTGCCACCGCTACGCGCCCTGGATGACTTCGTTCTGGGGTCGGCGCGTCTGGCGGCTCCGGATCCGTGCGACCCGCAGCGATGGTGCCATCGCGTCATCAACAACCTCCTCTACTACCAAACCAACTACCTTCTGTGCTTCGGCTTCAGTCTCGCTCTGGCTGGGTGAGGGAGGGAAGGAGACGCCGGTTGGCCAGGGACGCCTGCGGGGCAGGGAGGGTGGACCCGTGGGGTTTTGAGGAACGGGAGGGGGATGCAAGGCTGCAAGGGGGCGAGTTCATTAGAGATGGAAAATCTCCGGGGCATGGGAGGGGAGACTTGAAGGAAGTCGAACACGGTTATAAGGAGTGCCTTGGGTGGGATATGGCCTGAGGATGGAGAATGTGGGGCTGGAGGGGAAGATGGGTAAGGAAGTGGACCTGAAGATAAGGAGGGCCTGAAAGTGAAAGTGGGGGTGCAGGGGGGAGGACGTGAGTGATGGGGCCCGATTAAGGCGGCCTTGGAGGACTTCGGGCAGAGACAGGGACAGGGATGTGGTGAAGTTGAAGGGTTGGGAGGGTGGGCTCGCGGAGGCTCTGGGCGTGGAGGGGAGCCTGGCTGTGATTGGAACGTTCCAGCAGCAAGTACCTCTTGGGGAACTTGAACCAAGAGGGAGGACCCAGAGGTGGAAGGCTTGAGACCAGAGAAGGATGGAGAACCTGGAGGGACTTGGGCAGGGCTGGAAGTTAAGAGTGGTACTGAAAACGTGGAAGGTGTTCTAGCAATGATGGAGGGAGAGATCTATAGGGAGTGGGGACCTGGATGGGGGACTTGAAGGGGAGGAAGCCTGGAAGGGGTCTTGTAAAGACTCTGGGCCCACGGAGAGGGAAATGTCTGGAGACAGAAGGCCTGGAAGAGGAATCTACAGGGTTGGGCTCAAAGGGTGGATTTGGGGGCGGGGTCGGTGGGGTCTAGCGGGGGTTGGAGAGGGGTTAGAGAGGGGCCCCGCGGGGGGTCGGGCTGGAAGAAAAGAGCTGGCAAGGGCTGGGAGCCTGGAGGCTTAGGCCCAGCGGCATGAGAGGGCCTGAAACGGGAGAGCTAAGGAAGATGGGACTGTAGGATCGACGAAAAGGAAATGAGGGCCCCCAGGGCTCCTGGGAGTCGGGAGCCCTGGAGGGTGGACCCGTGGGGAGAGAGGACTGGCAGGAGTTTTTTGCCGCGCTGGGGGGCCCTGAGAGGGGGGAGCCAGGGCTCTTGGAGCCCGGGACTGGGTGGACGGGGAGGCTTGGAGGCTGGGCAGCCCTCTCGCCGTCGGCCGGGCCAGCTCAGTTCCGTTGTCCTCGCAGGTACGTGCGCCCGCTGCACACCCTCCTAAGCGCGCTGGTGGTGACGGTGGCCCTTGGCGCGCTGGTGTGGGCGGCTGAGACTCAAGCAGCCGTGCGCCGCTGCCGCCGCAGTCACCCCGCCGCCTGCCTGGCCGCAGTGCTCGCCGTCGGCCTGCTGGTCCTCTGGGCCGTGGGCGGCGCTTGCACCTTCCTGCTGAGCGTCGCCGGGCCCGTGCTTCGTGAGTACCCGCTGCCCGGCCATAGCCCGAGCAACGGCCGGCGCCTGCGCACAGCGGCAGGCCGGCCCTGCCCTACGAGGGGGCTGGGACGCGTCGCCTTCCCCGAGCGCCTTCCCCCGCGTTGCCTCCCCTCTTCTGGGAACGCCCCTCTTACTAGCGCCCTTTCAGGCCGCGCTCCTGGCGCTCAGTGTCTTCCGCCGGCCACGTCCCTGTTACCTTGCGCCCTCCCTGCCCCGCCCCTGTCGCAAGGCTCCTTACTCGGCCACGCTTTCCGATCGCAGGCATCCTGACCACTGACCACTCTGCCGGCCTGCCCGTGCTCCAGTTCCCCTCTGTGGGCCCCCATTGGCTAAAAGCTGAGGTCTCAGCCCACTGACCCCACTCCTCTCGGCACTGCCCACAGTGATTCTGGTGCACGCCTCGCTGCGCCTGCGAAACCTCAAGAACAAGATCGAGAACAAGATTGAGAGTATTGGTCTCAAGCGGACGCCAATGGGGCTGCTACTGGAAGCGCTGGGACAAGAGCAGGAGGCTGGATCCTAGGGGTCTGGGATCTGTACCCAAGACCTGGAGAATGCCACCCCCACCCTGGCCCTGTATACCGGGACCCAGAGCCCTTTCCCAGCCCTTGAAGTAGAGGGCCCCGTCCAGTTCAAAAACCAGAGGACATCTGCGACCCTCCCCACCCCAGGTCCAAAATTGGGATATCCCTCCTACCCAGCCCCCTGTTACCTAGGGGACCACTCTTCCCCAGCCCTGAACTTGGGGCTTGGAGCCCAGGGCATCTGTGGCCAACCTCAAACTCTGGACCCAGAGATACTCCCCCACCCCCAATCTGGGACCCACCCATCTCCCATGCTCAGCCCCAAAGCTGGGATCTGGGACCAAGGCATTCTCTTGAACCTGGGGCTAATAAGGCTTTTCCAGACCCTACCCCAGCTTTGAAACCAAGTCAGGGCATTGCCAAATCTTGAACCCGGGTCCCAATGTTCCCAGCCCCCATCAGGACAGAGGATTCAGGCATCCTGACCCTGTTGAACGCGTGGTTCCGGGTGACCCACTTGCCTCTCTCCAGCTCTGCTTAGGGATTCTGCCCCCTCTCCAAAGTTCCACAGTGATGAGGACCAAGGGGTGGGATGGGGTGGGGGTAGCCCTGACCTGGAATGGGGCATGTGTAATCAGTGTTACTGCAACAATAAAGGCTGTTGCATCGCTCAAGCCAACGTGGGCTTCGGGGTCAGGTCCGTGCATTTCAGTGGCCAGAAGTGGCCTTCTGCTTTTCAGTTCTGCTGGACTCTCTCTGCCTAGGTCGCTGTTAAGTACGTGGACTGAAGGGCGGGGGGAGCTCTCGGTCCCGTCCTCGAAGCAGGGGGTTCCCCTGGAGCAGCACGAACACGAGGCCATAAAGCGCGGCGTTGGCCATCACTTGCATCACCGAGGGCTCCCGTTCGGGGCCGGGAGGGATCTGAGCGCAGACAGCGGAACTTTCGCCCCGCATGCCAGCAAGTAAAGCCCAAGCGGATGCCATTATCACACGCTGTTTCCAGTGTGTGTTTTCTATAATCTGGCATCATGAAAATCTATTACCTGGTCCTAACTGCAGGTGTGGGCCCCCAAGGCCAGGCAGACAAGGAGTGACACGTGGGTTCGGTTTACACATTTATTGTAGAAATCCCCTTCCAGTGTGGGTGGTGTCTTGGGCCCAGATCCATTGGTAGAAAAAGAAAAGTTTAACACCAGGTAAAGGAGGTAGGGGGACCCCCACCTCCAGAAAGTCACAGAAACGTATCATAGAAAACACAGCTTGTGTAGATTTGTTTTAAAAAGTGGTGGGTGGAAAGCAAGCCAAGGAAGACGTGACGCAGCTTTTGGCCAGCGGTCACCTGAGGATTTTACTGGCATCGAGCGGATGCCAGGCTTCACCACCACAGCATCCCAGGACGTGACACACCCAGCCGCTCTGCCCCCGCCCCCCCCCCACCCCCGCACGGCCGGCTGCCTGACGGGGCTAGATAGCGCGGGGGCTGGGCCATCTCATCCTGCGGGTACAGGCAGCGGGCACAGACAGGCGGACAAGGACTGGGGCTCCCTCGGGCGCCCCTGGGGGTAGGAAAATGAACCGAAGCCCCCTACCCAGACTTCAGTCCTTCCAAATGTGGGCAGAGAGCCCACCTCCTCAAGAACTGGCCTGGTGGGGGGTGGCGGGGGGTCCTGTTCACACCAGAGTCTCCTGGCTGCCCCAAAAAGGGCCCTGAGACCCTATATGGTCCGTTTATTTTAGGCGGTGGGGTTTCCTGAATGGAACAGGCTGGGCATGGGGACAGGAATGAACCCAACCAGGACGAGATCACAGTTTCCCTTTTATAAAACGTCTAGTGTTGGGGGAAGACAGTGAAGACCTAAATCACAAGTGTAAACAGAAATGGAGAAAGGGGCCTGGAGTCCCTGTTACACCATCGGCCCCTCTTAAGCTGGCTGAGGGCCCCAGTTCCCAGCACAGTGTGAGAGGGGAAGCAGGGTGTCAGACACCTTTGTGGGTCCACGAGGAGCCAGGGGCCTTGGAAGATCAGGTCGGCACCCCCCAGGACTGACAGCAACCACACCCCAGGGTTCAGCGAGGTCAGCTGTGCGCTCCCCCAGACTAAAGTCGTGCCCAGGCCAACAAGGGGTATATCACAAGGGGTCAGACCAGCGTCCCCGGGGTCTGGGGGTCAGAACTGGAGGGCTGCTCCCCCTCTAGCGTCAGGTCACTTAAACGAGCGCTCAGCTCCGGGGGGTACAGGAAGTCCGCGTAGTATCTTTAGGAGGGGGAGCAGGAATCCGGACAGGGCGGCAAGACAGAGAAGAGAGGAAAAGACGGACAAGACACAGAAAGAGAGGAAAAGAGGCTCGTTAAAGAGGCGGAGGCAGGCACAGGACAGCACCTTTAG